TATCTCTCTCTCTCTTTCCTTCCTCTTTCTCTCTTTCTCTCTTCTTCTCTTTCTCACAACGAGGGCCACAACCGCCTCCTTCCTTCACCCAATCCAGACACAGACTCGGAAAAAATCAGTCGATAGCCAAACAATCTCTTATCTCTCACCTTTATCTCTCTTATCTTGCAGATTACGTTAGCCTTGTACCTTCGTTAACAGTAATATGTGCTCGTGGGAGTCTCTGATATAATGAAAAGAATTTGTGTGATTAATGAGAATAAAATGCTAAAGGGGGAGTGAGGGAAGATGGAATGGATGTGGAAAATGATTGGATTTTATTTATCTATTTATTCATTTATTCATTTATCTGTTTATTTAATTCTACGGGGAGGGGGGGGTAGTGGTAAAGCGATTGAGAAGCGTATATGTGTATGTGATTTAATACGATTTGGCAACCGTGTGTTATACAAGTCGAGTCAGATATTACAAAAAAAAAATGTTACACAACAATGTTCTGGATTTCGACGTGAACTATTTCATGAATAAAGAAAATACTCGGTATGGCTTTGTGCGTTTTGTTTATTTTTCTGTATGTTTATTCGTTTTTGTCATGTTACGCGATTATGAGGTAAATTAAGGAAAATAAGGAAGGATACATATAATCTTCTTGGATTTGCTGGTGAATTCAATTGGATTTGTCTACGCCTACTTCTAATCTATTGGCCTTGGCACACAGACAGACACACCATTCACACACAGACTCACCCACACCTACACACTTATAGTTATATACAGATATATACATAGATACGTGTGTATGCATGCGTACATACATATACATCAATTCATACATATATATATAATATATATATAATATATATATATATATATATTATATATATATATATATATTATGTGTGTGTGTGTGTGTGTGTGTGTGTGTGTGTTGTGTGTGTGTGTGTATGTATGTATACACACACATGCGCGCATATAAACTTTTAAATATTCATTAATTTTCTTGTACAATATATATTCACACACACACACACACACAACACACTATATATATATATATATATATATATATATATATATATATATATATATATATTATATATATATATATATATATATATATATATATTATATATATATATATATATATATATATTATATATATAATATATATATATATATTATATATATAAATCCTAATATAATGATTATATGAGTTATAATGATAAATATAATAATGATGACAATAATTACGATAACAATAAAAATGATAGTAATCATAATACTAATGAAAAACGAGGACAATAATAACGGATAAAGGAGAAAAACTCAAGGCCAAAAGACCTTCCGCAGCATCATAATAAAACGGGAATAATAACTTGGATCATAATAAAAATAGCTGTGATAAGTCCTCGGGGATTAACCCTACCTGGCCTTGGAGTCAGATGATCTCTAAAGCCGAAGAGAATTTTCCTACATATGCGATTGCTGCCGTAATTTGGAACACATTACATACAGTTAGTGTATGTGTGTGGTGTGTGTGTGTGTTGTTGTGTGTGTGTGTGTGCGTGTACCTCTCTGTCTGTCTGTCTGTCTGTCTGTCTCTCTCTCTCTCTCTCTCTCTCTCTCTCTCTCTCTCTCTCTCTCTCTCTCTCTCTCTCTCTCTCTTCTCTCTCTCTCCTCTCTCTCTCTCTCTCTCTCACCCAGACACCCACACACACACAGACACACATACACATACACACACACACACAGGCACACATACACATACACATACACACACACACACACACACACACACACACACGCTCCCCTCCACTCTCTCTCTCTCTCCCACTCTTCCTCCCTCCCTCTCTCTCTCCTTTTCTCTATCATGAGCTACTATAAAGAACTCAGATTGTTTATTCATCTATTATACCTTGTTAATAACAGTATCAACACCATTCATCATTTTACCATTTTCATTTTGTATAAAATTTAAATCAGCAATTATCCACAAACCCATCCTTTGCAGAAGGGGGGGGGGGGCGAAATGGGGTAGGGGAAAGGAGGAGAATATCTTACCCATTACTTTCACCTCCCCCTTCCTCCTTTTCCCCACATTCCCCCCTCCCCCCTTCCTCGTCTTTCTCCCTACCCCCTCCTTTCTATTCCTCTTCCCCACAATTCCGCCCTCCTTCCTCCTCCTCTTCCCCACAATCCCCCCCCCTTCTTTGTCCTCCTCCCTACATTTCCACCCTTTCCCCTCCCTCTCCCTTCCCCTCTCCCCATCCCCTGTGTACCCCACCTATATTCACACAAATCTGCTGCTTCGTCTGCCCGTGTTTTGTGTGGCAGCTTTCTCATTCTCTTCGTCCATTTTACTTGGTTTTATTTCATCCATTTCATTTTATCATCTTATTTTATTATTTTATTTTATCATTATCATTATTATTTATTCTATTTCGTCCATTACTCGTATCGTCCATTTATTTTATATCATTATCTTATTTCATTATTTTAT